CTGCCGCCCCAGCCATCACCACCTGAAGCAGCAGGACCAGCATCGTCAGCAGGGACCCCAGGGGGTGCCTTCGCCATCTCGACGTCGTCCTCGGGAGGCGGGGCCTGCTCGGAGTCGACCTCTTGCCGCAGGACGACCGCCTTGGCCTCGAGGGCGGCCTTGGCCTTCTGGATGGCCTCCCCGACTGCCCCGCTCTGCTCCCGCAGCACGCTCGCGAGGGCGCGGATCCCCTCCAGGGCGCTGGCGAGGTCACCTGCCTTGGACGACTTGGTCCCAGGCGGAAGGCCGACCTCCTGGACCTTCTTGGCCTGCTCCAGCTCGTCCTGGGCGGCTGCCAGCTTCCTGTCAGCTTCAGCCACCTTCCGCTTGGCCTGCTCCAACTCCTCCTGGGCTGCGCCGACGGCCTCCTCAGCGGCCTCCTGCTCGCCCCTCCTGGACTTGGCCTGCTTGCCGAGCCGCTCCACCTTCCAGAGGAGCCCCTGCAGCACTTGGGAGTGCGTGCGCGGCTTCTCTTCCTTCGGGGCCTCCTCAGGCTGCCTGGGCAGCAGCTTGGCCCTGTCCGCGTCTGAGAGGACCACCCCGCGCGCCTCGAGCTGGGCCAGCAGGTCCGCCGCGCTCGGCTGCTGGGGCTGCGCTCCCTGGGCGCCGCCTCCTGCGCTGCCAGCGACAGGCCCTGCCCCGCTCTCCTCCTTCTTGGCCTTGGCCTTGGGCGCGGCCTTCGGCGAGGCATCCCGCGCGCCCGCAGCAGGGGGTGCCCCAGCCGCGGCCTCCACTGCGCGCTGGCGCACCGACAGTGGGGCCGCCACCCCGCACCCGCGGCAGGCCAGGCGGCTGGCCCAGTTGCCGTCGGCGCCGCAGCGGCCGCAGCCCCAAGTGGGCTTCCGCGGGCCAGGCAGGACCTTGCCGCTCCCTGCGCCCGCGCCGCCCGCACTGCCGCGCCAGGGCGCGCCGCAGCCTCCGCCGAGGAGGGGGAAGAGGGGGAGAGGAAAACAGGAGGAGAGAGGATGGGCAGGATGTGGCGAAGGCGACGAGACGAGGCGAGCACCGGAGACCAGCGCTCCCCGATGGAGGGCCCGCTCTTGCAAAAAAGGGGAATGCGCTGGAAGCCGCAGCCTCGGCAAGGAGATGGGGTGGAGAGGGAGAGGGGGATGGGGATGAGACGGACGAGGGAGGAGAGGGAGGAGGAGAGAGGAGGAGAGGGGATGTGAAGGATGGCGAATGGAGGACGGGAAGTAGGGATGGAGGGGAGGAGGAGGAGGAGGAGGAGGAGGAGGAGGAGGAGGAGGAGGAGGCCTCCTGATCCCTCGCCTGGGTGGGCTTCGGGTGGGGAATCGCCCTCGGACGTTGGACGATTTCGTAGGTAGGGTGGAAATTCCGCCCTAATGTCCAAACTCCTTTTATGCCGATTGCCGCCGCACTTTGTCGTCGCCGTTTCCACCATATTTCTGCGGGGATGCCCGCCCTGATGCGAGCACGTCCGCGTCACTAGTTCCCGTCGTTTGGGGCGCAGTCCTGACACACCTGGAAAATCAACCAAAGTACGGCGGATCCGAGATCAGGGCCCCCCTCCGCCATACGGGCGTTTTTGGACGTGTTGCAAACCACCGCGTGGGTCGGGAGAGGGGGAGTGGAAAGAGACAGGAAGGTCCCTAGCATTGATGCGTGCGTCCACCACCCCGCACGGCATGGGCCACCCCTGACTGACCCAGTCCTCACCGCCGAAGGCGAGGGGGGGAGAGCATGCTGCTACACATGAGATGAATGCCGATGAGAACGGACAGCGATCAAACTATGATGCCTCTTCTGACTTCGAACCGGCTACGATGCCTACTCGTGCCCGCCCCATCCCGTCTTCAGGGGCTTTGCAACCCCCCATAATGGTGGGGCGGGAAAACGGTCCGCCACCCTTGGCCCTGCACGTACGGTGCCACGCTCGTGGGGATTTGCTCCCGCAGCCTATGATAAAGCGGCGGAAGGTGTGAGGCCTCATGGCGGTCCTCACCATTGAGGCCAATGATGGTCGTCACCGGGGGGGGAAGAAGGATACCTGAGAAGGGCAGTGCGAGAAACTATAACCATCGCCCTAGCCCAATAATGAGAGAATCCACAATCAAAGTAAGCGGGGCTTCCACAGGCGGAGGGTCACGCCGCACCCGCCGCCACCTCGCGGCGTCACGCTCCCGTCGAACACCTCGCTCGTATCTCCCCCGGGGAAGCCCTTTTAAGAGGCGGCACGAACGCCACGGACGTAACACCCTCGCATTCGTGATGCTACGCCCACTCGAAGTGGCAGTCCCAGTCGTGGTCTTCGTCGACGCCGGCGTTGTCGTCCTCGGCGTCCTTCGTCGGCGTCAGGACCGTGGGGGTTTGCCCCGCAGCCTGTACGATGAAGCTGCAGAGGGTGTGAGGCCTCATGGCGGTCCTTACTGGTAAGGCCTATGACGGTCTTCGCCGGGGGAAGGGGAAAAGGATAACTGAGAAGGACAGTGCGGGAAACTATAACCACCGCCTCAGCCCAAGCACGACGGAATCCACATTCAAAGTAAGCGGGGGCTCCACAGGCGTGGGGTCACGCCGCACCCGCCGCCGAACACCTCGTTCCTATCTCCCCCGGGGATACCCTTTGAGAGGCAATGCGTATGCCACGGACGTAACACCGCGCAATCGTGCTGCCGTGCCCACTCGTACTGGTAGTCAAAACCGTGGTCGTCGTCGTCGCTGAAGTCGTCGTTGTCCTCGATGTCCGTCGTCGGTGCCAAGTCCGTGGGGATCTGCTGTCGCGGCCCCTATGACGGAAGCTGCGGAGGGTGTGAGGCCTGATGACGGTCCTTACTGGTACGGCCGATGATGGCGGGTCCAACAGAATGATGAAGTCCCACGCGAAAATAAATTAGTTCTCGCCGCCCCTGGGGGGCTGCGATATGCGAAACTGTCGCCACTTTCGAGGACTGCGGGGGGGGGCACCATAGCGGGGCCGTAACTGGATTCATATGAGACCTCGCCATTTCTCGGGTGGTCTGGTCTACGAAACAATCGCCACTTTCGAAGGCTGCAGGGGGGGTGGGGGCGGTGCCCCGACTTAGATTAAACCTCGCCCGCTCCAGGGGGCGCGATATGCGAGAGGATCGCAACTGTCGAGGGTTGCTTAGGGGGCCAGCATAGTGGGGCCATACCCAAATTCAGATTAAACCTCGCCGTCTCTGGGGGGTGCGGGTTGCGAAACCGTCGCCACTTTCGAGGGCTGCCGGGGGGCCAGTACAGCGGGGCCGTAACTGGATTCAAGGATTCATATGAGACCTCGCCATGTCTCGTGTGGTTTGATATATGAAGCCGTCGCCACTTTCGAGGGCTGCAAAAGGGGGCCTGTCCTGACTTAGATTGAACCTCGCCCGCTCCGGGGGGCGCGATCTGCGAGACTATCGCAAGTGTCGAGGGTTGCTTAGGGGGCCAGCACAGTGGGGCCATACCAGATTCATATTAAACCTCGCAGTCTCTGGGGGGTGCGATCGGCGAAACCGTCGCCACTTTCGAGGGCTGCAAAGGGGGCCAGCGCAGTGGGGCCCGTGGGGCCATACCCAGATTCAGGTTAAACCTCGCCGCCCCTGGGGGGCTCTGATCTGTGAAACTGTCACCACTTTCACGAGCTGCTGCTGGGGGTGGCAGCATGATTGGGCTCGGCTCTACCCAGATTCAGAATTGATCTTGCCATCACTGAAGGTGTGACCTGCGACATTGTCGCCACTTTCGAAGGCTGCGGGGGGGGATCAGCATGGTGGGGCTCTACCCAGACTCAAATTCGACCTCGCAATCCCTGGGGGGTGCGATCTGAGAAGCTGTCGCCGCTTCAGAAGTCTGCGGGGGGCCAGCATATTTGGACTCTACCCAGATTCAGATTCGACCTCGCCATCCCTGGGGGGCTGCAACCTGCGAGAAAGTCGCCACTGACTGTAACGGACTGCACATCGAAACATCGTTTCTCTCCATTCTCTGACCTCTTTTTGTCGTCACTCTCGTGCTGCTGCCATGTCCTCTTGCTGCTGCCCAGCTAACGTTTCAAGCTCCCTGTCCGTCTTCTCCTCTTAGTCCTCGCCCCTTTCCCCCCCCCGATCCAGGGAACTAATTACCTCCATCAAGCCCTTGTCCATTGATCGCCTTCCTGCGAGTCGCGCATCTCGCGAGCCTTCCATATACCTTTTCGCAGACAGATACCACCTTATCGCGTCACCACCCCCGTATACAGTCTACCCGGCTATTCTGGCCATGCGTTGCGCAAGGGTCGGGTACATCGTCTGGATAATTTTCTGGGGACGGCGTCGTCAGGCCCGAGCTGGACCGAATCGCGAAGTCGGATCAGATCGGAAACGGATCGGATCGCCAACGAATCGCTCCGAATCGAATCGAAATCGGATCGCCGCGCCCTGCTCCGGCTGGCCCGAATCAATCGACGACTGTGAATCGAACCGATTCAATAGAGTCTTCCCAGACGGGGTCCGAGCAGATGGGGTCGGAGGATCGCGCCGCATCAGCAATGCATCGGCCATGCATTGGCGATGCATCGGCGACGTCGGCGAAGCATCGGAACCATCAGCGTGGAGAAAATCAGGCTCCACATCGAGCCGCATCGCCGATGCATCGGCGATGTGGCGCGATCCTCCGACCTCATCTACTCCGATCCCATCTGGGAGGCCCCTGAGCCTATCCCCCCTATCGTTGCCCCTGAGCCGATTCCCCCCGAGCCTATTGCACATGAGCCTATCCCCCAGCTATTGTTGTCCCTGAGACCCGAACCAATTCGAATCGGAATCGCGGCCCAGACCGGTGAATCGAATCGCGTCGAATCGGATGGTGAGCGGCCCTGGTCGTCGTCCTCCTTGTCCTCCTCCTCCTCCTCCTCCTCCTCCTCCTCCTCCTCCTCCTCCTCCTCCTCCTCCTCCTCCTCCTCCTCCCCCCCCTCCTCCTCCCCCTCCTCCTCCCCCTCCTCCAACCAAGCCCTCCCCCTCCTGGGTCGGTGGGCGCAGCACGGCCAGGTGCCCCCGATCTCGCACCCGTCGAACATGTCCTCTCGAGCGGGGAGGGGGTCGCGGGGAGGGAGAGGGAGGGGGAGGGGGGAAGGGAGGGAGAAGGATGGAGGGAGGGAGAGAGGATGAGGATGAGGATGAGGATGAGGATGAGAAGGAGGAGGAGAAGGAGGATAAGAAGGAAGGAGGAGGAAGAGACGGACGATGAGGAGGACGGCGAGGAGGACGAGGAGATCGACGGCGAAGACGACGACGAAGAGAGGATGCGGACTCCCTCGTCCTCGCCCTCGAATGGCGAGGAGGGATACCGATGCCTCCAGCGTCTTGAAGCAACAAATAGCACAATTGATTTCTGGTTCTCAAAATACTCTGTCTCTCGAGGCTGTTCTCGGGCTCAAGGGCCACCAACAAAATCTACTCGGACTGAACCTCCGTCCCCAAGGAAAGGGCTGGGACTTGCAATATCCGCTCTAAGAAAACAATACTTCGGATGTCTGGGTATGGGGGAGCAGGCTTCCAGGTTCGAGGATCGAGGAGGGAGGTTTGGGGGGGCCTTCCTGTGCCTCTGGAACCATCTGGGGGCCTCAGGGAATTGTTGGTGGGACCTCCGGGTGCCACTGGGAAGAGCGAGCAGGGGGACTGGGAGAAGGAGGGGCAGGGGGAAGTGGAGGGAACGTGTGGGGGTCTGAGCGGGGGGTGGGCAGTGGGAGGGGGGGCGACGGAGAAAGCAGGAGCAGGGGAAGATAGGGAGGAGGGTGAAGGAAGACTACGAGGAGAAGGCGGAGTAGCAGCAGAAGGGGCAGCGGAAGGAGGGAGAGAGGGAAGCATGGGGGAAGGGAGGGAGAGGGAAGCAGAGAGGGAGGGAGGGAACGAAAGGGGGGAGGAAGACGAGAAGAGTGATTAGGAATAGGAAGGAATAAGTAACGCAGGAGGAGGGAATGAGAGGAGGGCGAAGAGGGTGACGGTAAGCAGGAGGGTGAAGGAGGGAAGAGGTGGAAAGGGAGGAGCAGGGGCACAAGAAGGAACAACAATGCCATGCATGGCGTCCCGTTCTCGCGCTATAAGAACGAGACGTTTACCAAAGGCTGATCACGCCACCACGCAATACACGAGACTGCACGTCGCTGATCAGCACGTGCTTGCTGGCATTCCAGCCGGGCACGACGATCGCCACCCGCCCACGAGGCAGGATGACCACCAACGGGCCCTAACAACTGCTTGCGGTTATGCGTTGTGATGCGCTGTGCCCGTCGTGGGACCCAAACCATAAGACAACGATCATGGCGAGAACGAGTGGCAACAACGTAAGCACGGTAATAATAAGAGAAACGAATTCCAGGTAGCGACTGCGATGTTACGAGAACCTGCGATGTTAGGCTTGCGATGCGGGTAGGCCGCGGCACATGTGGCGCTCGAGGGCAGAGGCTTGCCGTAACGCTAGGACTATCGCTGCGCCGACAAAGCCAGCGATGCGGAATGAAATATCTCTCGTCGGCATTGTCGTCGTCCTCCTGCTTCTCAATGCGCGGCGCAAAGAAGGACGAGCATCAGCGTTCCACCCAAAAGAACGAACAATGGGCAGGGTGGCACGGGAACCATGACATTGAAAGCAACATCCCGCGTGGACTTGTTTTCAGCCTATGCGCTGGCCAGGCGGGCTGGGAGCCGAAAAGGCCACAAGCGGGCAAGAAAGCGCGGGAACCGTACCATCAAGGACACAAGCCGGCGGGGCCAGATTTTGCCTATGCGCTGGCCAGGCGAGATGGCAGCCACAACTGGATAGGCGAGCTCGGGACTTCTCTCATATACCGGAAACCTGCCCCGGGGGCCCCTGGGGCCGAAGACCACCACGGGCCACAACTGCACACGAAGTCCCCCCTCCCTCCCCGGAGCCCCTCCGGGGCTTGCCGGAGGCCTCCCCGGTCAGACAAGACGGCCTAAGAAGCGCCCGAGACGGCCCAAGATACTCAGAAGAGGCGTCCAAGAGCGCTCCAAGGGGGCCCTCAGACGGCCCCAGAGGAGCCCACAACGGCTCCAGAGCGCCCCCAGACTGCCCAAGAGGGCCCCAAGAGGGCCCAATGAGAGTCCCAAGAGGGCCCAAACAAGCTCCCAAGAGGGCCCAAGAGACCCCCAAGAGAGCCCCAAGACGCCCAAAGGCTTCCCAGACGCCTGAAGACGGCCCACAAGGACCCCAACACGGCGCGCGAGAGCCCCAAAAGGGCCCCAAAAGGGCTCCAACAGGGCCCCAAGTAAACCCCCTGGACGACGAAGACGACGACGACGACAACGATGATGACAAGGGCGGAGGCTAGCCGCAGCCGGCGCTTGCCCGCGGGACAAGTCGTAGAAGCGCCTCTGTCCGTGAACGTGTGGTGGTCGTCCGGGATCATCGCCCACGGCAACGTGGCGCACGACCCGGAAGACTCTGACTGAAGCGAGGCGTGAACGTGTGGTGGGAGGCGGTCTGTTTGCACATACGCGCGTAGACTGCCGCGCCACTAACAGCAAGGCCTGGCAGCCGCTGCCGCGCATCACAATGAATTCACCCTTGCTGCAGAAATAATTTCTGTGAAGAACGAACCCCTTTTCTTCATCGCCTGAAGGTGCCTGGAGCAAAACGGTTGCGGGCAACAGCGATGCACATCAATGAAACGATATTCAACATGTCAGCTCACGCAACGATAACCTAATACGCTACACATCTGCACTCCTCCTAAAGCGCAGACTGAAACCGACTCTTCAGGCCAGCTTTCTATGTAGCCTGCTCCAGGAATCACGAAACTCAAAACCCATGCTGACCAGATGCTTACGCGATACATGTGCCGGCACGCACTTAGTCAACATGTCACTCTCGTTATTGTGAGTGTCTACTTTAATTAGTCGGATCCTACGCTTCGAAACGGCGTCCTGGACCCAAAGAAACCTGCTTTGCACATGCTTCTGCTTGCCCAAACCCTTACGCTGGGCAAACGCACGAGCGGCAATCGAATCCGATGCCAGCTGGTCAGCACTGTTACGAACACTGACCCCGAGAGAAACTCCAAGGTCCTGAGCCATCGACTGGATAGAGAGGCCTGCGGCGGCCCCCTTCACAATCGCATAGAATTCACTCTCTCCACTGCTCAAACTTACAGTGCGCTGAAGAGAACTCGAGGCCTTCAAGACATGACGGCCAAACTTGCAAACAATGCCCGAGGTCGACTTGCGGGTTGTCGGGCACCCTGCATGATCGCTGTCCACGATCACCGTCACTTCGGTAGGCAAACGCTGCGACTCGAAACGACTGACCAGACAAGGGTGAGACACAAAATATCTTCCAAGACGCTTCATATCGCCCTGGTTAGCAGAATTGGGAGACTTCATAGACCTACACAAAGTCTTAGTAGCCTCTGCAATGTCTGGCCTGTCCAGACTCAAGTACGCAGCACGCGTAACAAGAGACCGATGCGAGCGAATCCCCACGGCATCCAGAGTGGGAAGTGCTTCTCTAGCCTTGGCCTTGTGAAACGAAAGCTTTGCAGCTGGACTCTCCAAACCTTTGGACCCGGGACGATCAATACCTAGATCACGCAGGATGATATCTACATGGCGCTGGTCGCCTTCTATCTCGACCGCCCTGGGAGCATCCGCGAACCTGAACACTCGATTTAAAAAGACGATCTCTTTATGATCGCCAGAATCGGGGCCCAGGATCCCCGTACATTTCATGTCATACCGGGGCCCAAGGCACCCATCTACCTCGCTCAGGGTGACCTCATCACCCAAAACCATAAAATCGTCTCCGTGAACCGCCCCCCGACCGCCATCGCTCTCACGATAGACGAGCGCGGCCGAGGCCACGCCCTGCCGCCAGCCTTCTCCGGCCAGGTGTGTTATATAGTCTCTGCCAGATGTGAGTAGCATCTTGGGTTCCATATAGTGACTTATGTAAACGAGCGCACTTACCTGCGGACTCCCCTTCTTCCGGGGGCAGGCGCATGAAAACATTGCGCTGGGCCTCTCCATGCAGATGGGCCCGGGACACATCCCAAAAACCGAGTTTTAAAGGTGGCCCCCGGCTCGAAGACTTCTGTGAAACCAAGAGGCTCACCAAAAATCTGATCGCCTCGAGTGGGGGTGTCCCGCTAAAAATTTCACTAGCGCTAAGCTGCTCGCCGGGCCTCTTGGTCCTTTTCACCTCCGTTGCCACTAATCTTGATTTATATCGAACCCGTTCGCTATCCCCTTTGTTCGCGTCGACCCATCCGGTGTTAATCGGCCCCTTCCCCGTCGCTTTGTAGCACTCGGACTCATCGCACTCGGAGTAGACCGCCTAACGCTTCATCCAATCCATCTCGAGCTTCCTAGCACCCCTGACGAGCTCCGACTCGAACCGACCTTCGCTGACATCATCCCAAAAGCCGTTCTCCGCCACGCCGTCGTACGGCGCATCAGGCATCCAGTACTCTATCTCTTGGTCGGGAATGGGGCCCGCCTGTGTCACGCTATTCAACTCACCGATCCTCTCGAGCTCCTGCTTGAGTACCGTAAGGATAGCCTTCTTAAGCTTCATCGTGTAGGACTTAGCTCCCCGAACCTTGTTCCTGCCCATGAGTTGCGCGTGCTTATGCTTGCCGTTGCACCTGCGACTGAGGAGTTCAGCTAGTTGTCAATTGTTAGTCATCCAACCCGTTGCTTTCATGACTGATTTCATTTCCCCATTCTCGTTCTCGGCCTTCAGGTCCCAAGAACACATATCTCCACGTACAACATAAACTCCCGGCTCCGAAGCGAGAGCGACCGCGTCTGGGTCACTCCAAGAACTTACCGACCAAGGGTGTTCGCGCAAGAACCAACGCTTCTTCTCGTGCCTCTTTCGGCACTGCCAGATTCCAAAACGCAGCAACTTCGTGTCGATCTCAACTTGCAACTGGTGCCCCTCCTCGGCTGAGGGCCTGCAACGTCGTAAACTTCGTGCAGGGAGGAGCAGGGCAAAGAAGATAAGGGTCTTCGAATTCAACATCACGCTCAAACTTGACCTGATTGTTCTCGAGACTCAGGT